ATATATATACAATTTTAGTAATATATATAAATTATTAATTACATTTTTAAATTTTATTTTTTTGAAATATGCAAATGCTGTATGATAACATATCTTTCGTATAACACAAAAGAAAAAATCATGATAAAATTTTATAATACAACAAAGTATGCTGTATAAGATTAAAATAAAAATCTGATAATTATATTATTATAAATATATTGTTTACGATACTTTTTATTCCTTCGTATATATTTATATATTTTTCTATTATTTACAATTATATTTATTTTATATTTAACTTTAATATGTTACTGTACAATAACAAAAAGGAATGAACGTCGAGTGCCTATTATAGCGATGCTTGGTTCTAATTATTTGAAGACGATTCTAATTTGGATACAATGCATCGCATGCTCATTTTGCGCGCAGACTGGCTGTGTCTGTTTGTATTTTAGAAACATTACATAAAATTTCTTAATTGCAATCAGTGATGTAGGTATCTATAGATATATATACATATATCTAGATAATATTTCTAAATACCTTTTGTGTATCTGCGTATTTAACTAATTACAATTTCTTAACTCCGTAAGTGTAACTATAGTTATGTTTTACTTTGTATCTTATTAAAATGTATTTAAAATAATATTTTAGATACATTTTAAGAGGCACTCAATTAATTATATGATCTAAGCAGAAATCAATCATTCAGTCAATGGGCGAGTTCATAAGAAATTATGTTATAGAAGGTAAGTTTTCCGTTTAGCCGTTAGCAACTTTCAAATTTAATGGGCCATTGAGTGAAGCCAGAGAGAAATCGTGAAATTGATTCTTAGACGATTGCAAAAATTTTAGTAAAGATGAAAAATAAGAATAAACTTGGATATTTTATATTATACGTATATGACAATATATATTGTCATATAATAAACTGTATGTGAAACTATAAAATAATTTTGCTTAAGAATAATAAAGGAAATGAGAACTTTATGTAAAAATTAAAAACAATTATTTAAAAAAAAATTATAACATTCGAATCAATTACATTAATTCGAAGTCAAAGTTGAATTGATTTCGCAATTACTATCTTCTCTAATAACTTATTTTCTTGAGTTCCTGTTATTTTGTAGTATTATATAATTCTGTCAACTTTATAAATATTTTATACAACTAAATTCAATATTAATTTAACACAAGGAAATGTTCTTTTAATTCAACATGCTTTTAATTTATCATTATACATTCGTAAGTCAAATCGATACGTTATTGTTACAAATAAAAAGATTAAAATGAAATTAATAACAAATAGGGTTGAATTAACTATTTATATTTATATTTATGACTATTTATATTTGTGACAGCCTGTGATACATGCATTTAATTGACTCAATCTATATTAGAAGCATAATTTTTTGACTTTGCGATCTGTTCACTTTTTATATTTCTTTAAGATAAAAAAAAATAGAATTTGAATTAAATTTTACATAACATTATCTTAAAGCTTATTGAATTCTCTTCAAAATAATCTATTATTTTTTAAAGTTCTGCCCATAGAGTAGTTCTAGTATTTACCAAAAGTGAACTCATAATAAGGGCGAAAGTATAATAAGAAGCGTAAAATATCACTTTTCTATATTTTGACAATGTATAATAAATGGAATATTGCCGCGATTATTAAAAACCATATAGAAGGAAAAATTAATTAATTTAAAAACATTCAATTTTTATGTTTTATTATAATAATTTTTACACATCTATGTATATATTAAATTATTAA